CTAGAATGTTTTCTGGGGAAAGGGAAGTGAGGGTAGAAAGTGGACTCTTTACTGTTGAATTTTGTACAGATAGGTCTGTTTGGGGAGAGAGCTGAGGATTATTTTGGAGAAAGAGAGAGAGGGAAGGAAAGGAAGGAAGGAAGGAAGGAAGGAAGGAAGCGCCCCTTCCTTCCTTCCGCGCCCCTTCCTTCCTTCCGCGCCCCTTCCTTCCTTCCTTCCTTCCTTCCTTCCTTCCTTCCTTCCTTCCTTCCTTCCTTCCTCTTTCCCTTTTACTTTTCCCTTTTTTCTATCCTCTTTTCCTTCCTTTTTACAAATTCTTGCTATGTAGTCCAGGAACCGATAATCTCCTTGCTTGTGCAATCTTAAATGCTAGGATTCCAGGCATAAGCCACCACACCTGGCTTTATTAACTCTTTCTATAGCACAATAATTTGCATATAGCTGCTACTAATGTGTCTTTATCAATCCATGTTCTGCTTTTTCCCCCCTTGAATTATGTAAATAGTAATCTAGGTCCCTAGTAATGGATCTAGATTGCCATCTTTCCCAACAGTGGATTTTTTTTCTTTTTTTTGCCAGTCCTGGCGCTTGAACTCAGGGCCTGGGCACTGTCCCTGAGCTGCTTTTGCGCAAGGCTAGCACTCTACCACTTGAGCCACAGCGCCATTTCCTGCTTTTTCTGTGTTTGTGGTACTGTAGAATCAAACCCAGGGCTTCATGCATGGGAGACAAGCACTCTACCACTAAGCCACATTCCTAGCCCCAAACAGTGGATTTTGTATTCATCTTTTTTCCCCCCTCTTTTTGGTGGTGCTGAGGTTTGAACTCAGAGCCATATATTTGCTAGGCAAGCACTCTACTATTTGAGCCCAACCCCCTAAACTTGGTTGCTTTATTTTTTAGATAAGATTTCATACTTTTATTTATTTTTGGCTCTGGTTAGCCTCAAACTACAATCTTCCTGCCTACTCCACCCCATAACCAGTACCACAAGCATGAAACATTATGCCCAGTTTCTTTCTTTCCTTTCTGTTAGCATACTTAGTTGTTGTACGAGGGACTTGAATTGTAACATTTCTGCACATGTAGACAAAGATCAACCACACTCTCTGACTCCCCCTGACTCCACTCCTTTCTTCTTAAAACCATGTCAACAGGCCTCACTGTTCTATTTTCATACATGCAGAGACAAAAGCTTTTAGTTAATAACTGCACTTCCGGAGAGGAGGGCATCTGCTTGCTTATTCACCACTTCCATTAAGGGGCATCTACTTAGTTTAGTGGTGCTTTTCTCTCAGGAAGTGCAATATATAGTAAGGGCCGAAAAATAAAGCAAAGGAGGAAATTTGGTATTGATTTCCTTTTCTTCTGCGAAATTACATAAACGGTCGATGGCTTGTAGCAGTAACTGGGTCAATAAGGTTCCATTTGAGACTACCTTGAACCTCTCTCTAGTCTCCAGCATCCTTTACTGACATCGTCATCTGTTTGTGATCTTCTTTGGTGCTCAAAAACTATGGTGTGTGTGTGTGTGGTTTAAGTTCAAAATACCACAATAAAGATTTTGTTAAAGTTGGGGCTGGGAAGGTGGCTCAGTGGTAGAGCACTTGCCTTGCATGCCTGAGGCCATGGGTTTGATTCCCCAGCACCACATAAACAAAAAAAAAGAAAAAAGCCAGCAGTGGCACTGTGGCTCAAGTGGTAGAGCGCTAGCCTTGAGCTGAAGAGCTGAGGGACAGCGCCCAGGCCCAGAGTTCAGGCCCCACGACCGGACCCAAAAAAAAAAAAGAAAGATTTTATTAAAGTTATAATTGGAATGTATTCTCCAGAAACAAAGATCTACCACCCCACTCCCCCTTTTTATTTTCCTTTTCTGGTCATGGGGCTTGAACTCAGGGTCTAGGCACTGGTCCCTGAGCTCTTTTTGCTCAAGGGTAGCACTCTACCACTTTGAGCCACAGTACCACTTCTGGTTTTCTGGTTGTTAATTGGAGGTAAGATTCTCACAGGGACTTCCCTGCCTGAGCTGGTTTTGAACCGTGATCTCAGCATCCTAGGATTACAAGCATGAGCCACCAGTGCCTGGCCACCACTTCCTTTTTGATTGGAAAAAAAAAAAAGACACCAACCAACAACACACAAGGCCAAATCTGAACATCCAAGTGGGAAGGAAATTGATGAAGTGAATGGTAGGCCCCTTGGCTGTGAAACAGCTTTTTTGAGTATTAGGGTGTTGCTAGATCTTCGTTTCTTTTTTTTTCTTGGTCTGGCAAGGGGCTTGAACTCTGGGCCCAGGCGCTGTCCCTCAGCTCTTCAGCTCAAAGCGAGCACTCTACCACTTGAGCTACAGCGCCACTTCTGGTTTCCTGGTGGTTAATTGGAGAGGAGTCTCATGGAGTTTCCTGTCCCGGCTGGCTTTGAACCGTAATCCTCAGATCTCAACCTCCTGAGTAGCTAGGATTATAGGCATAGGCATGAGCCACCAGTGCCCGGCCTTCCTGGGTTTTAACTGCAGAAGGATTAAGCAGAGTGGGGCTGGAGGGGAGTTCATTTATGTTGGTCTCTCCATGTCTAGGTAAAATTTGATCAGGATCATTTCTAACATTTCTGGAATAGTCACAGCACCTAGGGAGTATGCTAAGTGTCTCTGGTTTCTCTTGTAGGGAAGCAATAAGTCGCCTGTGTGAAGCTGTCCCTGGAGCAAATGGAGCCATTAAAAAGCGAAAGGTATATGGGTTGTCTTGTTTTATGTTCCTCCAACTATGGCAAAGAGCATATCAAAATAGGTGTTAAAGGCCAGGTGCTGGCAGCTCATTCCTGTCATTCTGGCTGCTCGAGAGGCTGAGATCTGAGGATCTTGGCTTGAAGCCAGCCTGTGCAGACAAATCTGGAATTCTATTTCCAATAAATCAGCAAAGAGCTGAATGTGGAGGTGTGACTCAAGTATTAAAGAGTGTGAGCCTTGAGCAAATACCCTAAGGGACAACCCTCAGGCTCTGAGTACGTGCACAAGCTCCAATACTAGCAAAAAGCAAAAGGGATAGCCTCAATAAAGCAGCTCCCCTTTTCTTCCTTTTCCTTCCCCTCTCCACCCCAACCTTCTCTTGGTTTTTCCTTCTCTTCTCCCCCCCACTGCAGTGCTGGGGTGTATCAAGCCCAGGGCCTTGTGCAGAACTGGTTCACTAAGCAAAAGCCCTAGTCCCTGGTGGGTTGTGTTTCCTTTTGTAAGATTTGCATTGAAAAGTTCAACTGGTCTAAACTCTCAGGAATTTGTTGATATAAAACAGGCCTCACTCTTGGGGAATAGAGAAGTAGGAGAAAAGTTCTGAGGCCTCAAATTTCACTTCTTAAATGATTCTGAATTTTACTTTGTAAAAGTGTTTAGTTAAAAAAAAACAAAAAAAAAAACCAAAACCTCATGCCTTCTCATCAGAGGAAGAGTAGGGGTTTTAAAGCATTTTTTAAAGTTCTGAAAACATTACTGTAGTGGTTAAGTCTCTAGCAACATCCTTAATTTATAGTGTGGTTTTTGTTATTTTTAAAGGCCCCCGTTAAGTTGCTCTCAACAGTTCTTGGCAAAAGTCATCTTCAGTTTTCGGGAATGAACATACAATTGACTATCTCCACGTGTAGCCTCACGCTGGTGAATCTAGACAGTCAACAGGTAAGAGAGCCAAGGTCATTTTATACTTTAACACATCCATTTTTTTCTGGAAGTCTAGGGCTAATAAAGAGATGTGTAAGAGTATGCTTCCAGTTTAATAAACCAGAGGAAAAAAATCTGCCCAACACGGATGCATAACCATAATTAGAATACTAGTATTACCAACTTGCCAACTTGTCACCCATTGAACACCGAACTGTACAAATACTTGCTGCTCAGAGAACACACTAAACACCACCTGATACGTGATGTACTTGCTTTGATCCTTGGACTGGGGTGTGGATGAAGGGGCAGAGGAAGAGTAGTATGAGTTCTGGGGCTGATACTATAGCCTACTGAAACTCAAGCAGAAAACATTTTCTTCTAATTCTTCAGGTCAAAAAGTTTTCCCAAATGTTAAGCTACATTGGCATTCCTTTGAATTAAAAAAAAAAAAATCCTTCCATCAGGTTATTCCTGTGTGAGGGTATGATTTTCTAATATTTACTGGCTTAAGGTTCTTGATATTGAAGGTTTTACTGTAGATCACGGTCTCATAGAAGGTTTGGCACTGGTCATGCCAGAAGCTTTGGGGCCACAGGGAGGGTAAAATGATGGGTTTTGTCACTTACCTTTCTGGGTTTAGTTTGTAGACATTATGAGCTTTTTCTCTGGGCTTCTTTGTTTTTTTTTGCCATCTTTATCTGGAGGTAAATGTAACCGGCCAGTTTATTGGTCACTGGCATGTCCCTCAAGAGTACCTGTCAATTTACACTGCACAATTACTACCTATTCATTCATCTGACTGCAGCTACCAGCTAGAGAAGGCAACAGAAGATGTTAGGGAAGAGGCTCTAGGATTAATAACCAACAGTTTACTCCCCATCCTCTCCCCCACCCAACCAAGCTAGTGTTCCAAATGATTCTAATTATCCTTGTCACAGTCCTGGCACTTTATAGGATTTCTCCTCTAAGGGTGGGTAAGAGGGTAAAAGGCTGAGTTGTCTTTCTACATAGAATCTGTTCTTTACTGTCATTATGGAAGAGTATCTGAATCTTTGAAATGATCATGTTGAGATCTGCTTTTATACTCACTTTGCTTGGCATAGCCTTCTGTTTTAATTGTTACTCCCACAGAACCAGCATCTCAGTGCAGTAGTCATAGCAGCAAGGTAACGTTTTCCTCAGCTGGCAAATCCTTACAGGCTGTCCTTTCCTGAGCTTTAGCTTTCAGAAGTTAATTTGTAAATCAGGTGTTTGAAAGTGGATCATTATGAACATTATTTAAACTTAGAAAAATGGACAAAAGAAATATGCCAACATATGTATGCATGCAATACTATCAGCCAAACAAACACACAGAACAAGGAATTTTATTATCTCCAATGCTGGTGCATAAGGAATAACAAGCTTAATTAGAGGAGGAGACAGAGAGAAACTTCAGATACTGAGGTGGATTTCTGGCTAGGTTTACGACCTTCAAAGACAGATAGTATAATTATAATTGTTTGTAAAAAAAACATTTTGGGATTTTCCTTTTACTTGAGAATTTTCACTAACAGTTCTTACAATACGAAGTTCAATCACCAGCTTAAACAAAACACAGCAAGCAAGACAAAAGATATACCTTGTATACAAGGGTACTAGAAATAGCTTTTCTTTGTACTTTCACATTTTAACGTCTAAATTGAAACTTTAAAAAGAAGGGTTGATTTTCTGACATCTTAAAAAGAGTCATGACAGTTAATTTTCCTGATTATAGATCACAGTCGCTTTATAAATGATCAAGATACATGTACTAACAACGTTTCAGATTTCCTTAGAAACACATTTTAAAATAATAGCACATGACATTCTATATGAATTTAATTTCTTCATCCTTTCGGGGGCATGAATATTTAATGAATCTAACAATGCAGATGTAGTCCGATAATTACGCCTTGTCTAAGATCACGAATTCTGAGTTTTCACAATAGGCATTCAAGTCCAAATAATTCAAAGGTGTCTGGTGGATGTAATTCTGTCCTTCTCATTCTATGACTAGTGTCAGGGGGCTCTGGTATTGGCAGTTTGTCTTGGTCATGGTTTCCTCTTGAAAAAAATCATCTTGATGGTGGATGGTGTCCACAAGATGTCTTCCCCCAACGCAAAGGGGAAAAAAAAAAAAAAAAATCTCGATCAATAACCAAAGTCAGAGCCACAAGTGTTCCAGGACGTTCTTGAAACCAGTCTTCCACAGTCCTAAGCCCTTTCCCCTCCCCCTCCCGCCCCCTTCTTCTTCCTTTCCTTCCTTTTTCTTTTCCTTTTTCACCTCGGTCCAGTCACTGTCCTATTGTCTTCTCTTCAGGGAAACAAAACAACAACAACAAAAACTATATATATATTTTTTTCCTTTTTATGTTGAAGACCCAGCTTTTCACAGGGCTCTGTGGAAGGCAACCCAAACGATGGCGGAAATGTGGGGAATCTGTCCTTAAGGAGTTTCCTCCTCCTCCTCCTTTTTTTTCTTTTGCCACCAGCCTGTGATTTTACTCCCTATCGATAATCTCATCGCAACCGAGTTCTTCGGTCAGGCGATTGACCACCATGAGCGAGAAGAGCTCCTCGATGAAGGCTAGCTGGTCGAAGGGGGTCTTCTCGTAATGCATCTGGAACCCCCCGTCCAGCGCGGCCTCCCGGGCCCGGGAGGTTCGCAGAAACATCTTGTTGGCTTCTTCCAGGGCGGCGGACACCCGGTAGCCCGCGCCGCCCAGCCGATCCCCTTCGGGGTACTCGTATTCCTCCTCCCAGTCATCGAACTCCTCGTCCTCGCTCTCGAAGTCGAGGCCGGCCATGGGTCCGGGGTGCTCGGCGCCGGGCCCGGCCGCCAGGCCGCCTTTCCCCCGTGGCGGGGCCGCCGCCGCCGCCATGGGCTGGGCCGCGGCCCCCGCCTCCTCCTCCATGGGGCCTACCTCCTCCAGCGGCGGCGGCAGGTCGCCCTCGCCCAGCATCACGTCCATCTGCAGGTCGTTGCACTCCTCGTACAGCTCCGACAGCTCTGCCATCTCCGCCATGGTGATCGACATGCTGGCGGCTCTTTGGAAACGTGTGATCTTAGGTTATCTTGGCGTCTCTCTCTCCACCCCCCCCAAACCCCGGGAAAAGAAAAAAAAAAAAAAATGCAACGTCCTGGGGCTGCCTGAGCCGAGCTGCCTCCTCCGGGTGGGCGGTGCGCCTGCGCGCCGGCGCGGGAGCAGGGGGAGAGCGCGCTGACGTAATGCACTGCGCCTGCGTCCTTCTGCAGATCCGGGACAGGGAAGGGGCGGGGTCTTCCTCCTCCCCCTCCCACCCCCCTCCCGCTACGCCTCGCTGGGCCCCCGCCACCATGGCGGGGAAGGAGAAGGAGGCGTTTGCTGTCTGTGTCTCTGCGCACGGTTCCATGATGGTGGTGGTGGTGGTGGTGGGTTACATCATGATGCATTTGGACCTGTGCAAACCGAAGAGGCCCACAATAGGCAAGCGCGGTACTCTGCTCCGTTCCCCCCGCCCCGCCCCGCCCCGCCCCGCCCCGCCCCGCCCCGCCCCGCCCCGCCCCGCCCCGCCCCGCCCCGCCCCGCCCCCGGGATGCTGGAAGCTGGACAATACGTGGTCTCCATAGCAACAAGTCAGGCCCCGCCCCCCTCCTTTCTTCATCCTGGAAACTGGGGCTTCTGGTCCAAGGCTTAAGGGACCTGCTCTCCAGGCGTGAATAACTGGAGATTCCACGTCTCCAAACTGGACAGTATATATCAGGGATCCACATATGAGGAAACGATCCTTTCTGCTCATCTAGCTATAAATGATCCTTTCTGCTCATCTATCTATAAATGATCCTTCCTGCTCATCTATCTATCTATAAATGATCCTTTCTGCTCATCTATCTATCTTTCTGTTTATTGACATATATATGTATAGTCATTCACCAGAGGGAAACATACCATATATATGTATTTATATATAAATACATATATTTATATATAAATACATATATATATCTGGTCCCATTGCTTTTCCCAGGAGCTCCCTTCCCACAATGATCAATTTGATGTGTTTTCTTCCAATCTCCTTTTCTTCGCCTTCACAAGGATCTTAACATACTTGTAAGGATTTGCATGTTTTGATGAGGAGGGGGAAAAAAAAGACTCCACAGTGTTGTGAAAAAAAATTAGCTTTGATTCAGTCTTTTGTTGTTCTTGTTGTTTGTTTTTTGTTTGTGTAAATGTACTGAAGTTGACCTAAGGGTGCATTGATACTGTAAAGAATGGATCCCCCCCCATGTTCCAGTGTTCCTCGAGAATAAAAGGTGTAATGGTAGAGTATTCATTCTTCCAGTGCATGCTATCAAATTGCTATATCTAGAATAGCTGTGCATAGTTATCACACACTCACCACATAGGATTTTGTTGAATTTTAATAATTTTAAAATCACTTTGGTGGTATCTTGTTTTATTTTCCATACCTTTAGCTTTCTTGGAGATTGATTATCTTTCAGTAGGTTTCTCAAGCATTCGTATTTGTTTTGTGAATTAATTGGTTCTACTTGGAGTTTATTTCTATTTCTTACTGATTTGTAAGAAAACCTTATAAACTCTCTATGTGGAACTTTTTCATTTTACAAATATGTTCTCCTTGCCTATTATTGTTTGTCTTAAAAGTCTTATATAAAGGTTTTAAAATTTGTTTTTATGTAGCCAAATACAAGATTTTTCTGTATTTCCTTTGAATATTAGAATTGATTTTTTTCAAAAAGTATGGATTTTTCTACTTCACTAATATATCTAGCTAGCTGATACAGAAAAAAAAATAAACTCAGGGCCTTGGCACTGCTCATTAGCTTTATTGCTCAAGGCTAGCACTCTACTTCTTGAGCCATACCTCCACTTCCAGTTTTTTTCTGATTAATTGGAGATAAGAGTCTCACAGACTTTCCTACCTGGGCTGGCTTTGAACCTTGTTCTTCAGATCTCAGCCTTCTGAGTAGCTAGGAATACAGGAGTGAGTCATTGGTGTCCAGGGAAAATCTTGTTTTTGTTTTATGAAGATTGTCTTAGCTCTTCTTGAGCATTTATTATTCCATATTTTATAAATGATTTGAATATATCTTTGTTATGTCTTGTTATCTAGTGAAGTATATCCTGTCTTTTGCTCACTGGACACAGGTGGCTCTCAGGAGGCTGAGATATTCAGCTTAGGCATGAAAATCTATAAGATGTTTTATCTCCAGTTAACCAGCAAAAAGGCAGACATGGAACTATAGTTCATATGGTAGTGTGCTAGGCTTGAGTGAAAAAGTTTAGAGACAACACCTTGGCTCTTCAGTTCAAGCCCCAGTACTGGTGCATATACCCCCCCACCCCCATACACATACACAATTGCTTTAGCAATTTATACTTGCACGGTAATTTATACTTCCCTATTGATTTATATTTCTATATTAATTTTGGGAACATCTTGAAAAGTTCCTATAACGACATTGGTAGCATTTCTTTCAGAATTATGTGGAATTTATAGATTAATTTAGGGCTAGAGAAAATATCTTTGTAATATCTTTCTACTTAATCAGGTCTTTTTTATACCCTTCAATAAATCTTTCCCAAAACTTTACATGATTCTTATTAGTTTATACTTTAGGTATATTCTTTTTTTTTTTTTTTTGGCCAGTCATGAGGCCTGAACTCTGGGCCTGGGCGCAGTCCCTCAGCAATTCAGCTTAAGGATAGCACTCTACCACTTGAGCCACAGCACCACTTCCGGCTTTTTTCTGCTTATATGGTGCTGAGGAATCGAACCCAGGGCCTTGTGCATGCAAGGCAAGCACTCTACCACTGAGTGACCTTCCCAGCCCCTTAGGTATATTCTTATAAAATGTACTTTTCTCTTTGGCCCCCAAAAGTGTCTAATTAATGGGCTATTGCTGATAGGATTACATTGAGCTTTGTACTTATTGCTTTAGTTTTTACTGAAATAGAAATATAGAAATATATGCAAATAACATGTGTAGCTTAATTGTCATGAGATGAACTTGTCTGTGTAACTACTACCCAGATCAAAAGTGCCATTTTCAGCATCAGATAATCATTGGCTTCCTCTTCCTCTGCCCCAGGAGTAACCATCATCTCCACGTTCAACATGACAAAATAACTCTGCTTTTGAGCATCAGTAAATAAAACCATACATTTTTTTAGGTTAGGGGCACCTTGTACCACAAATTCTTGCTGTATAGGAGTCCGTTGTTTGAAAATCACACTGGACAGCTAATTTACTGCTATTAGAAACAGAGTAATTATTCCTTTTCTTGAGGTTGTCATGTGTGACACTCGATAACTAGGAACAATCATTTATCATATCATGATGTTTATGTTTTTTTTTCAGATTATTGCCAATCATCATATGCAGTCTATTTCATTCGCCTCAGGAGGGGATCTTGTAAGTATGGTTTGGTAAAAGTTCTTTTTAGAAAAGTTAAGTTCTATGTGAAGTGTAGGAACTACTACATGTGTTTTCCAAATGTCCTTGTAGTCTGTTAATAGGTAAATGTGGCAGGTAATTAAAAAAATAAAAGAGCCATGTGCCAGTGGCTCATGCCTATAATCTTAGCTACTCAGGAGCCTGAGATCTGAGGATCACCGTTCGAAGCCAGCCCAGGCAGAAAAGTCCCTGTCAGATGCTTATCTCCAATTAACCACTCAAAAAACAAAACAAAACAAAAAAACCTGGAAGTGAAGCTGTGGTTCAAGGTGGTACAAGCGCTAGCTGTGAGCAAAAAGAGCTCAGGGACAGTGCCTGGGCCCTGAGTACAAGCCCCACACACACACAAAAAAGACAGACTTGAGTAGAATATTTCCTGTCACTTAATTGTAAAATGGGGTTGGAGGCGTGGCCCACTTGGAGCAGTGCTAGACAGGTTCACATAGTGGCAGGGACTGAGTTTGAGTCTCAGTCTCAGACCTTAAAAAAAAATTTAATATACTCAGATTAGGAGTTGAACTGATAATCCTTCATTGTGTTATTAGCCATGGAACTATCATTGGCTAAGCTTCTTGTTGATCATATTGAAGTCACAAAAGAAACCCCCAAAAAACAAAAAGAAAAACTTGAGCATGTCTCTCCTACCTGTGTTGCCAGTGGTCTCTCAGGATTATTCCCACAGAGTCAACTGGACTTGGTGTGAGGAAAACTGGTATGAGGGAAGGAAGGCTCATTTTCCATCCTGCCTCCGAAGCAAGGCAGCTAAACCTAACCAGAACAAGCGAACAGCTTGGCGGAAAACCCGTGCAAAGAATGGATAACTGGAGAGAGAGTTACTTAGATTTCCTCTCGTCTGAGTCATGCTCACTTCCAGTGAGTTAGTGAGTTGTGGGGGCTTCTCTCTCTGAAGCTCTACAGAATGGAGTGTCGCTCCTTGTCTCCCTGCCCCGTCCACCGCTGGACCAGAGTGTTTGGAGAGAGACATTAAAATGAGGGGCTTCAGGGACTGAACAACCAACAAATCTATTTGAGAGAATGGATGCCTTCTGTTTCACTCCAGAGGAGTGACATCATGTGCCATTTTTGTATGGGCATATGGAACACTAGGAGAAGGTAACAGGATTCAGGAGAAGGTAACAATATTCAGAGAAGCTGAATATTGGTAACCTCAAGAACAGATATGGAGAACATATGCAGACCTTTAGTATCTGCCACAAATTTATATCGTTTGTATCTAAAGTGTGTATGTGTATATATATGCATCTATATGTATATGTATATATACACACATACATATTTATACCCACACACATACTGCTGACTTGGTTAAAACCCCTGTGCTCTCTGCAATTGGAGAGAAAGTAGAACAATATAGAATAATAAGTATGGCTTAGTTGGTAGAGTGCTAGCCAGTGAGTGAAGGTGGAAAATACTGCGTTTAAGTCCTGGTCTCAGACATAAGATAGAAAGAAAAAATAGAAAGAAAAGAAAGAAGGAAAGAAGGAAGGAAGGAAGGAAGGAAGGAAGGAAGAAAGGAAGAAAAAATGGTAAGCTGGGCCAGGTGCTGGTAACTCACATCTGTAATCCTAACTACTCAGGAGGCTGAGACCTGAGGAACACAGTTAGACCCGTCTGGCCTGGGAAGTCCACGAGGACTCTTATATATATATATAGTTTTTTATTGTAAAGATACTGTACAAAGGGGTTGCAGTTACATGAGTAAGGTAATGA